TTCTGTGCTCACTAATACGAATTTTTAGACATCTGCTCGTTTGTACAATACGTTTGTATGATACGTTGCTCAATTTTATAAACTACACCATAGTGTAACCATCTGGAAAGAGAATCTTTTTGAACCTTTATGAATTTATTTAATTTGTTGATACCCTTATAGGTCATTTCAGCGCAAGAATTATTTCTGAAACAGTTTTTGACTTTTCTTTGTAAAATTGGAATGAAAGGTATAATGAAGAACTTATTTTAGTTCTTTTCTTCATGTTCACTTTCCGTCACTTCCTGTTCTAAATTATTGAACTATTCAAGTTTATTATGGAGTCTTTTTTTAAAAATTGAAAAAAATCAAGTTAAATGAATAACCATTATTTAACAAAATTTTTATGGTTGTATCTAAATCATTTTGGTAATATTTAAATGGTTACACTACGATGTAATAGAAAAATTGACTACAAGAGCTGCATATTATATTTATCATTGGACAAATCAGCAGATGTCTAAAAACTCATATTAATGAGCACAGAAATCGTATTAATAGAAACATAACGCAAATTCTTAAGACTTTTCGTATATTACTTATATACTTTCAATTTTGTCTCTCAGTTATGTATTAGACAAACCATCAACATTGGCATACGTTATTTCATGTAAGTTTTAACTTTATAACCATTTACAATTGACAGCTATTACAATTGACTAAAATAATTTTAATTTATAACGGTAAACCTGCAAGTCTAATGATAGCATATGAATTCAGTGATTATGATTCGCTGCACTTCGGTAATCGCATGTAAGTAAAAATAAATAAAAGACTAAGTATAATTAATTTATTGGGGAAAAAAGTGTTTATAGCCTATTCTTGCAATTATTATTTTGTCTAGTTGATCATGAAATCGAATGTGCGAGAAATTGACCACTATTTCACTGTAACATTTTATTATAAATTTATGTACTGAAGAGGATCCAAAACTGAGAATCGAAAGGTTTTATATTGATGACATTTATGTAAAAAAACCTCCAATAAAATGAATTCGCACATGTATAACTGGTACTCGGATCAAATTGACATTTTACACATTCTTTGATTTATTCTTGAGAGAGTCTAAATTTAATTTTCTTTAATAATTTCTTGGTAATTAAGCAGATTGTGGAAGTACAATGTGTACGTCGTAACAATGCATATCGTTACCAGTATAACTTGCGAGTGACAACCATTCCGCCGAAGGCTCATGGGTTTTACCGAGTGGCGCCGTTCGGTATCATTCCCACTCGTAATGCCGGCCGGCGAAGATTGCCGAGTATTAGGTGTATAACTTTGCTTCCGCCTTTTTTCCGAAATTCGAGGCTTTATTGTAAAAAACTGGTTATACATTTATGATTCAAAGTATTGTCCATCGCTGGCCACTACTTTCTCCCATCTTTCGGGCAGCGTACGAATCTCGAAAAAAACTGATCATCTTTTGAGGCGATCCACGAATCGATCCAATTTTTTACTTCTTCATAAGACCGGAAGTGCTGGTCAGCCAGGCCATGTGCCAAAAACGTATCATCTTTTGAGGCGATCCACGAATCGATCCAATTTTTTACTTCTTCATAAGACCGGAAGTGCTGGTCAGCCAGGCCATGTGCCAGTGATCGAAACAAGTGATAGTCAGAGGAAGCAACGTCTGGAGAATACGGCGGGTGGGATAGGACCCCATTTCAACGTTTCCAAGTATGTCTTGACCACTTTCGCAACATGGCGACCATTGTCATGCTGCAAAATCACTTTATCGTGTCTCTCATTGTATTGCGGCTGTTTGTCTTTCAATGCTCGACTCAAATGCATCAATTGCGTTCGATACCAATCGCCTGTGATTGTTTCAGTCGGTTTTAATAAGCTCATAATACACTACGCCGAGCTGGTCCCACCAAATACAGAGCATGACCTTGGAACCGTGAATATTCGGTTTGCCGTCGACGTGGAAGCATGGCTGGCAACTCCCTATGATTTTCTGCGCTTGGGGTTATCGTAATGAACCCATTTTTCGTCTCCAGTCACAATGCAGAAATCCCTTTCGTCTTTGCCTTTTAAGCAGCTGTTCACGAGCAAACAAACGCCGTTCAACATCTCTTGGCTTCAACTCGTACGGCACCCAATTTCTTTGCTTCTGAATCATTCCCATGGCTTTGAGGCGTTTTGAAATGGCTGGTTGAGTCACAATGATCGTGCCAATTCTTTTTGATTTTGACACGAGTTTTGATCAAGTAATCCTCCAATTCTGCATCTTCGAAAACCTCTCTTCCACCGCTATGCCGATCTTCGATGTTAAAATTACCGTTCTTGAAGTGTTGAAACTACTCACGACACGTTCTTTCACTAATAGCAGCCTCAGCCGCAGATTTCTTCATATTGAAGAAAATTAAAACCTCCCGCAAATGACGAAAATTTGGCTCGTAAATTGACATTTTCAATCGAGAATAACTTTATGATACAAACACAAATCGACTAATGTTTCTATGGGGTTATGTTGACAAATGCGGCGCTGCATGCGTCCGTCGCGGCGCTGATACAGTCGTTCTTTCCGTTACTTCTTCCGTTCACTCTCTCTGGTGTCATGGCGTGCCGTGTGCAGACCTCGTGTAAGTCTCTGCGATAGTCAGTAAGTTAGAACTCGGAAGTTGAGGTACCGAATTACTTTATGTATTCCGCGAGATCGATACCGATCACTGTTCATGTCTGAGATAATCGTTAGCGTCGTCAGATAATTTCTTAGAGTGTATTTTTATAGTGTATTTTCTAGTATTGTAATTCCGCGACACGATGCCGATATCCAAGCCGTCTTACACGCGCAATCATGTCTCTACTTTCTAATCTACATTTGTATTTAGTATTTAGTTAGGTAGACATTAAGTGTGTATTAAATCACCTCATGGCATCAAAATCAGAAGCAGTGAGTAGCGCTCATTCTCAACTTAATGATTTCCCGCCAATTGTCCTTCGCCTTGGTTGGCACCGGCGCCATATTGCGTAGCACGCGCTCCAATAGCCACACACCACTTACCGCTAAAGCCATCTATAGGAAAACGGCGGAAGCAAAGTTATATACCTAATAAGTCCGGAACAATACAAGCGGGAACAACAATCTGTATATAAACTCACAAATCGTTGTTCGTTTTGCGATTCCTGCTATTCCGCTCCTAGACGAATCCGACTATCACCGACTCCTAGCAATCGTGTCCGTCGCAAGACAAAGTGGTGGAGAGCACTCACTATCGAGAATTCTCGATAACAGCCGACTGGTCTTCCTGCTGCACCGACGGGATAACTTCGGGACGAGAGTGCATTCTACCCCGCCACTCGGCCGCCAGCCAACCGCCATTTCTTAGTGCCGCACGGACATAGTCAAAGGATCGAGCGCGCTCAGTCTCCATCGAGTCTTTCTCGACTATCCGTGGAAGCACCATCGCATCCGCGGCAATAGCATAGTTTTTTTCACCTCTGCTGAGAATTCTCGATTGTCGATTGTCAAAATACATTCAACTTCGCGCTTTCGCGCTTGCGAGGATCTCCCGGAATACCGCGCCACATCCGCGTTCGGAATTTGCTTCTGGCGTTCCTGTCAACCAATCAGACACGCGCTGCCGTGCACAACTGATTGCCGAGTATATGTGTTGCATACCAGCACCGCATCGCATCAGAAAAAGTTGTCTATGGCATCCAATACACGAGATCATGTTCGCTGAAAGGCAAATATACTTATCCGCATGCGCATACACATATCGCGAGAATTATTATACACCCGAAACCGTTATATACACCTTACATTATACATATACACATATCCAACGATTTCATTAAGAGTATATTAATATCAGAACTGTATTCTATTTGTCGATACGCATCTCTCCTTCCCGTGCGAATCTCCTTGGCGTTTCAAATTGCATCCGATTACCGAATCCGATGAGCACCAAAGTTAGGTTATTTTGATGTTGTAGAAACGATAATATGACAATACATTATGCACACTATATTATGCATAATAATATATATTTAATAGCATAAACGTATAAAATTATTGTTATGTTACGCAATAGTAGTAATATTTTGAAGATTTTAACTCATGAATACAGTAATCAGTAAGTGACGCTCGCGTCGCGGGGAACGATCATTTGGCGCAGATTCTTCTTTCGCACAAGCTATGACTCATCTCATTGGGATTATGTCACAAGTTCGATCTCCATGGAGGCGTCTTCTTCGGCCTCCTTGACGAGAACATCTTCATCCTCGACTTCCTCAACAGGAACATCATCGTCGTCGTCGTCGTCGTCGCCGTCACCGTTGCTGTCGCCGTCGTCGTCCTTCTCCTCCTCCTCCTCCTCCTCTTCCTCTTCCTTCTCCTCCTTCTCCTCCTCCTTCTCCTCGTCCTTCTTCTACTCGTCCTTTTCCTCCTCCACCACTACTTTCGTTACAAATTTTTCGAAGTTCAACGGTTCATGATATTTTATAATAACTATATGTGCGTACGTGCATGCGTATTTTTATTAGATTGTACTAGAACTTTCTTTCTCACTTTCAACAAATATCGAACTGTAGCGGATTGCTACATATAATGAATGAAGATATTGGAGGAAACTCAGATTTGTAAAATAACAAATGTTCGTTTATTCAATAGCACATACAATTTTTTATCGCGACAATGTAAATCGACTTGATTCGTGTGTTACTGTTCAGCAAAGAGTGTAGTATCTAGATGGGCATGATGTTTTGTGTGAGTGCGCCATCTGGTCATGAGTATATGAGTCTAAGCAAGCATAAAAGTATGAAATATGATTGAAGAAGTGTGTGTGTGTGTGTGTGTGTGTGTGTGTGTGTGTGAACGTGTTTCCACATATACTCCCCTCCGAGAATCTATGGATGAATAGGCGCGAATCGATCTTTCTTAGGTTTATTATATTTTCTTTGGTGTATCGTGCGCCACCGCCATGTTTTCTATCGATTCTTCTTTTTGTGACGATTCAGGTACTTCTTTTGTATTTGGGTAAGAAGGCGAGCTTCAGCTTTTCTGTCGATAGAGCTACGTTATGGCCGTTCATATGGATCACATATATATATTCATTCTCCCTACGTATCACTTCGTGTGGTCCAGTATAAAGATGTTGGAATGTTTTTCGGACGCCATCTTTCCTGACGAAAACGTGTATGGACTGTTCTATTCGCTGCTGTCGAAAAGCTGTCCGTTTTCCATGGTGATGCGTTGATTGTGGACGGAGTTGCCGTATGCGTTTACAAAGTGTCATGACGAAGGTCTCCGTGTTTTCTGTGGCATATCGATTTTCTAGAAATTCCTCGGATACTCTTTCTCAGCGCCACACCGTAGACTAACTCCACTGGAGAGCATTTCAAATCCTCTTTCAGGCATGTGCGAAGGTCCAGCAGTACTATAAGCAATAGGTCGAGCCATTGTTTCCCATCTTCGTGGCAGGTTATAGAGCTTTTAAGGGTGCAATGCCACGTCTCGATTAGATCGTTTGACGCTGGATGATAAGGAAACGTTCTGATCTTCTTGCTGTCCAGGAATTTCGAAAGTGTTTGAAAAAGACTAACCTCGAATTATTTGCCTTAATCAGTAACGGTAACGGCAGGTGTGCCAAACCCAGCCGTGTGTGTGATACCCAGCCGTCGATGAATGCTGCGGCAACTGTCTGACGGCCATCTGGAAAAGTGGTCCATCATAGTTCAACAATACTTATATCCTCTTATCTCTGGAAGAGAGTCGATGAGATCCAAATGGACTTGATGGAAACGCTGGTCTAGCGTTGGAATCTTTTTAGATATGTTTCTGATATACCGTTGAATTTTGTTTACGCTAGCACTGAAGACAGATACGTGCCCAACAAGTGATGTCTTTATTAATTCCCGGCCAAACGAATTTTTGTCCAATTTGATGTTTGGTGGCTCTGCCACTGGGGTGTGCCATTCCATGCACGGCGTCGGAAATTCGTTTCCTCAGAGTTCCTGGGACGTAGGGTTGTATCGCATCTTTTAAGCAGTCGCAGTAAAGTAGACGAAGTAAGGGGAAACCGAAGTCCGTACCGATTCTGACGTGCAAATCGATCGTCGGAACTGGGTATAGGGGCGAAAGACTAATCGAACTATCTAGTAGCTGGTTCCCTCCGAAGTTTCCTTCAGTATAGCTGGCACTCGCCCGTTCTGCACGGAACATGCGCGAGTCTCATCTGGTAAAGCGAATGAGGCCTTGGGGTCGAAACGACCTCAAACGACCTATTCTCAAACTTTAAATGAGTGACATCTCTGATTTCTTGAACTGTGAAGTCACGAGTAGAAATTTGGATCAGAATGCCAAGTGGGCCATTTTTGGTAAACAGAACTGGCGCTGTGGGATGAACCAAACGCAGAGTTAAGGCGCCTAACTCGACGCTCATGGGACACCACAAAAGGCGTTGGTTGCTTAAGACAACAGGACGGTGGCTATGGAAGTCGGAATCTGCTAAGGAGTGTGTAACAACTCACCTGCCGAAGCAGCTAACCCTGAAAATGGATGGCGCTGAAGCGTCGAACCTATACTCTGCCGTCAGCGACAAGTGGGGCGGCCGCATGCTCGCACACGCCGCCACGAAGCCCTGACGAGTAGAAGGGTCGCGGCGATGTGCGCAGAAGGGTCTGGGCGCAAGCCTGCCTGGAACCGCCGTCGGTGCAGATCAGCAAATACTCCAGCGAGGCCCTGGAGGACTGACGTGGAGAAGGGTTTCGTGTGAACAGTCGTTGCACACGAGTCAGTTGATCCTAAGCCTTAGGAGAAATCCTATGTCAATGACGGCATACGATACTCTAGTGTTTTATACTTTGCAGAGAGAGAGACACACGTCCGTCGAGCGAAAGGGAATTCGGTTCCTATTCCGGAACCCGGCAGCGGAACCATATACAATTCGGGCCCTCGTAAGAGTGTTCGTCGGAGTAACCCAAAATGACATGGAGATGCCGTCGGGAGATCCGAGAAGAGTTTTCTTTTCTGTATAAGCGTTCGAGTTCCCTGGAAACCTCTAGCAGGGAGATAGAGTTTGGAACGCGAAGAGCACCGCAATTGCGGCGGTGTCCGGATCTTCCTCTCAGACCTTGAAAATCCAGGAGAGGCCCACGTGGAGGTGTCGCGCTGGCTCATACCCATATCCGCAGCAGGTCTCCAAGGTAAAGAGCCTCTAGTCGATAGACTAATATAGGTAAGGAAAGTCGGCAAATTAGATCCATAACTTCGGAATAAGGATTGGCTCTGAGGAGCGGGGCGTGTCGGGCTTGGTCGGCAAGCGGGTTTGGCTGACGTGTCGGGCCTGGGCGAGGTGACGTTCCGGTGTTCTCGCGCCGGGTCCGGGATCCGAGCTTGGTCCCGTGCTTTGACCTTCCGCGGATCTTCCTTGCTGCGAGGCTTCTGTGGCGGCGCGAGCCGTCGTGGTCGTCCTCTTCGGCCGCCATTCAACGCTCAGTTCAGAACTGGCACGGACTGGCAGGGGAATCCAACTGTTTAATTAAAACAAAGCATTGCGATGACCCTTGAGGGTGTTGACGCAATGTAATTTCTGCCCAGTGCTCTGAATGTCAACGTGAAGAAATTCAAGCAAGCGCGGGTAAACGGCGGGAGTAACTATGACTCTCTTAAGGTTATGGTTGCTTAGGGACTGTCTCCTCTCCCGATATTACCATCAGTGGGTACTTGGAGCAGTCACCTCAAAAACTCTTAAAGGATTGGATACGTATTAGTACACACTGCGGTGCGTCGATGACTGCGATTTCCCCATGTTCCTGGATACTTTCATGCGCCGATACAGAGTGGCGGGCTTGGCATGCCTCTACTCAAAGTTTTTATCCCTATCTTGAAGCATAACCGACTGCAGCGGCTCTGCAGAAGTACTCTGCCTGCGGCAAGCACCGCTGCCGAATCCACCTATGTGGCTAGGCAGTTGGTGTGGTGCGAGAACCAAATGAGGATTCGCGGCCATAGAGTTACCTCGGCTGCTGAGCTCAGACAGCAGTGTGCAGCCTGGTTGCGCGAGTCGTGTAATGGGAACGGGCTCAGGGAGGTCGAGTCGTCCAAACTGAGCTCATATTGGGTCGCACATGGTGCCTACGCCATATCCGGAGCCGATTACGTGCACTATCACTATACGGTGCACGGGCTAACTGCATCCGTCTCGAGTGACTCTCCCGAGGTCGTGATGGGCGCGATAGGTTCGCTGTAGGGCCGGATGTCCCGAAAGAGACTCCGGCTCATTGCGTTCAGCGCTGCTTCAGAACGCACGGAGGAAGGATCCTGCGACACAACGACCTGTGTCGTCAAGTTGGCCAAATGCCTCGTCATCTAATTAGTGACGCGCATGAATGGATTAACGAGATTCCCGCTGTCCCTATCTATTTTTCCACACAGCATTGTCACGAGTCAGTGTCGAAAGACCGAATGGCTTTTATGTAGCGCGCACATAATGTTCGCCGCGCGATCTTCCCTCGTTCGTAGACGAACGTTGTCGGATGTATCGTCGCGCTTACCGAACATCAACTCCATGGACACGAGTGACGGAAGGAGAGATCCTTTCCGTGTATACTTGTAATCCTTAGCGAAAGACAATTCGACCGAATGTCCGAAAGGGCATATCGGTCTACGAACGTATTCCACGAATGTAGTTTGTCTTGGAAGAAAATGATATTAGCGATAAACGTGTGAAATACCACGTTGAAGCTCTTCAGAGCATCTGAATAATCTCCACACGACTCTATCGAGCTCGTGAACGAACTTTCCGACATAGCACAGCCACGAGTCGGTGCCGTAAAGACCGAATGGCTCTTATGTGGCTAACAGAGAATTGATTAATTGATTGAATGATGGTTTTGACATTGCATCCTGAAGCTGCTGACACTCTCAGCACCTTGATCCCTCTGCTTGAGGTTCTTTGGTGTTGAGGTCGGAGTCTCTAAGGAGGACTTATCGACACAGCATAGACACGAGTCGGCGCCAAATGGCTTTTATGTGGCTAACAGAGAATTGATTGATTGATTGATTGATTGAATGTTGGGTTTTGACATTGCATCTTGGAGCTGCTGACCCTCTTAGCACCTTGATCCCTCTGTTTGAGGTTCTTTGGTGTTGGGGTCGGGGTCGGCACCTCTAAAGAGGACTTATCGACACAGCATAGCCACGAGTCGGCGCCGTAAAGACCAAATGTCTCTTATGTGGCAACCACAACAATTGTGGCGAAGCCGCTCGTTTAAACTCTGCCTCCCCTTTTCATGGAAAGGAAGGCGATGGCGGTGGGTGAAAGATCCCTCTGGGAACGACACGGTTCTAGCTAGGCTCGGGCCCTGACGAAACCAGGATATCTAACGAACGGATGAATTTCATATATTCATACATATATACAGTCTGTTCAATAAGAAAGTGTCTGCCATAATCAAAAAACTATAAACATTTAGACAGTTTTTTATTTTTTTTTTTTTGAAGTACACATTATTAGCTATTGCGCAATTACCTACTCTAGTATTTTGTCCAATCACCTCCATTACTGATTATTGCATGACACCTTTTTTCCATACTTTCGACGAGGTTATCTGCATATTTCTTTGGCAAAGATCGCCATATCTTCTTAATTTGAAATCACAGCTGCTCCACCGTGTACACTGGCTTTCCTTTGAGTTTCATCTTCATGTACGACCACACATTTTCAATGGGATTAGCATCTGGGGATTGCCGGCCATTCCATTCACTAAAAACACTGTCTCGTACCGCTTCAAGAATTTGGTACTCATTGTAAAAATAATAAATTCGCTGACGTAAACTACACAATGTGCTGGTAGGATATATTGCGCAAAAGAGCACGAAATAAAGGTTCAAACGAGTTCAGAAAGATATCGCTACGGTCGCTCTTTGTAGAATAATGAGTATCACGTTCTTATTGAACATAATGAGCATCACGTTCTTATTGAACAGACTGTATGTATCTATTAGGTGTACGAATAAATAATTTGCGCTGTTTTTTTTTATCAAAAATTAAGCATTTATTGTGAAAGAAACGATACATAATGTTTTATTGAAAGTATTGTCCATCGCTAGCCACTACTTTTTCCCATCTTTCAGGTAGCGTACGGACCGCATTGGAAGAACGCTTCATCTTTTGAAGCTATCCAATTATCGATCCAACTTTTGATATCTTTATATGATGTGAAATGCTGCTCAGACAGGCCATGCGCCATCGATCGAAATAGATGGTAATCGGAAGGGGCAATGTCTGGTGAATACGGCGGGTGGGGTAGAACTTCCCAATTGAGTGTTTCCATGTAGGTTTTGACTGGCGCCGCAACATGTGATCGAGCAACATGTGATGAAGTGTTATCATGCAGGAGAATAATTTTGTTATGCCTGGAGTAGTAGTGGGCGCGTTTTTTCTTGAGTGCTCGGCTCAATCTCATCAATTGTGTTCAGTAGAAAGCCTCAGCTAACGGTTTCGTTCGGTTTGAGCAACTCATAATACACGACACCAAGCCGATCCCACCAAATACACAACAAGTTTTTTTCCATGAATATTCGGCTTGGCTGTCGATGTTGAAGCATGGACAAGTGATCCCCCTGATTTCCTCTTCTTTGGGTTATCGTAGTGGATCCATTTTTCATCACCAGTGACTATACGATGTAAAAAACCCTTTCGTTTATGCCTGACAAGCAGCATTTAACATATGGAAAATCGGCGTTCAACGTTTCTCGGCGTCAGTTCATATGGAATCCCTTGCTTTTGAATCATTCCCAATGATTTCAAACGATGTGAAATTGCTTGTTGAGTCGCTCCTAATGTAAGTGCAAGTTCTTTTTTTGTGTTTGGCACGAATCTTCATTCAATAATACTTCCAATTCCGCGTCTTCGTACACTTTCGGCCTTCCGCTACGTTCTTTGTCTTCGACGTCAAATTCACCATTCTTAAATTTTTGAAACCATTAACGACAACTTCTCTCAATTAAGGCAGCCTCACCATATGCTTCTACAAGCAATCGATGAGCCTCAGATTTCTTCAAATTAAAAAAGTAAATCAAAAGTTTCCGCAAATGACGCTTATTCGGTTCAAAATTCAGCATTTTCGCACAAAAAAATATGATGCTGATACAAAATCGCTAGTATTTCAAGGTTATGTTGTTGACAGATGTCCAACCTTACGATAAAATGTTTTACATCAGACAATTTTAATCATAGCTTGCTAGTGGCGCCGTCTTTTGTCAAATGGCGGAAACTTATTTGTACACCTAGTACATTTTCAGCTTTTTCAGCTCACATCAAACACCGATGGATGAATGCTTAATGGTAAGCGTTTTCAAATAATGGCGCTCGTTCAAAGGCCAAGGTGTAGAAAGTCGTGCTTAGGGTTTGCATGGCTGCGGAACGTATCAGGTATGTAAATATGAAACCGGAATTTTTTAATAGAAAATACACGTTTATTGCATAAAAATGATAAAAAATATTTTATCCGAAGTATTGCCCATCGCTAGCTATACATTTTTCCCACCTGTCTGACAATTTGTAGATGCCACGCCAAAAAAAGTGTTGCTCTTTTGAGCCAAACCAGTTATCTAGCCATTTTCGTACATCTTCGTAAGAAGTGAAGCGCTGCTGAGCAAGTGCGTATCCCATCGATGCAAATAAGCAGTAATCGGACGGAGCCAAGTCTGGTGAGTAAGCGCATGCGAAAGTATTTCCCAACCAAACGCCTCAATCGTTTCCTTGACCAGTTTTGCTGTGTGTGATGGTTCATGAAGCAAAACCACTTTGTGTTGCCTTTTTTTTTATATTCCGGTCGTTTTTCACGCAAAGCTTGATTCAAATTGATCATTTGTTGT